CGGCGCTCATTGGCTGCATGGGGCGTGGCGGGGTGGGGCCTGCACGGAGGTGCCTACGCCCGAAGGGCTCCCTGAGAGCCAGCGGGGGCGGTGGGACCGGGGAACCTGCGGAAACCTGGGAGGAGGCCCGCCTGATCACAGTGCAAATTCCGGGCGGGTCGCGGGGGCGGTCGGCCTGGATGCTCCAGGATATAGAGGCCCGGGAGGGTGCAAAAGGAGGTGAGTAAAGTGCACGCCTGTAATCCCAGCACCCTGGGAGGCTGAGGCAGGAGGATGCCAAATTAGCGCCCAGCCTGGGCAATTTAGCGAGACCTTGTCTCAAAATAAATTAAAAGCGAGGTGGGGGGGCGGATTTAGCTCAGTGGCTCCAACGCCTGCATCGAAAGCACAAGGACACGAGTTCGATCCCTAGCACCTAAATAAATAATTTTTTAAAAAAGAAGCAGCAGCACACACCCACAATGCCAGAACTGCTCTGGTCACCCAAATCTACATGAGCGGACCTGTGTGAGTCAAAAGAATGAGTGACTCTAACAAGAACCTCAGGCATTCCCTGAGGGTCTGGGAAAGTCTGAGAAGTCTGGATTTTTTTTTTTTTAACATCTGCTTTGACAGTTTTCCCCTCCTCACTTCATTTCCTTCCTGTGCACCCTATGCAGTGGGATCCTGGTTGAGGACATCAGCAAGAAGATGAACTGCTGGGGTCCGGAGGTCACACTGATGGCCCAGGCAGGACCAGGCCGGCCTGCCCCCACACTGGGCCTGCGGGGTTTCTCCTGGAGCGATTCCACCAGATTCAGTACAGAGCTGGGGCCTGGGGTTCACATTCCAGGTTGCCTGCCTGGTGTGGAGTCCACAGCTCAGAACCCAGCGGCGAGTGGCCTGGGAGCTGCCCACCCAGCCTCCAGCCTTCCGCAGGCCTGGGTCCCGGATCCAACTAAGCCACTTCCTTGCTGCCAGGCCCTGGGCACTTCTGCTGCATCTAGGACCTGCAGCAGCAGTGACACCTGCTGTGGGGAGGGTCTATTCCTGTCCTGGTCTGTTTTCCTTTCTTATCTGTTATGTGTACACACACTTTACCGTACTCAAACATATTGAAGATTTGCAGTGCTTACAGTGAAGAAAAGTAGGGCTCAGCAGGGCATGGTGGTGCATGGCTGTGATTTCAGCTACTGGAGAGGCTGAGGCAGGAAGATCACAAGTTTGAGACCATGCCAGGCAACTTAATTTTATTTATTTATTTTTGGTAGTGGGGATCGAACTCACAACCGTGCACTTTTGAGGCAGGCACCAGTGCCACTGAGCTAAATCCCCAGCCCTAGATATCTCTTCTCTCAAAGCCACATTCCCTTCCTGGAGGTATTTACTATACCCAGCCCCTTGTCCATCTGTCTGGAGATGGTCTCTGCCTATAATACATCAGCAGACATGTTTTTCTTTTATACATAGTCACTTACTGTTTACACTTAACACTTTCCCTTATCTTGGAGAGCTGTGTATATCCATACATAAAGCATGCTTGAGGGTGGGGGATTTAGCTTAGTGGTTTCGCAGCCTGCCTTGCAAGCCCAAGGTCCTGAGCCTGATCCCCGGTACCAAAAATAATTATATAAAGCATGTTTGAGCCAGGCATAGTGGTGTACATCTGTAATCCCATAGCTCAGGAGACCAAGGCAGGAGGATCTCATGTGTTACATGTGAACAAATGTCACTGAAGGTAAATTCCCACCAGCAGACACTTTCATGTGGGGTTTCTAGAAGATCTGTCAGATGTCCCAGGTCAGTGGTTGGTCCCACGGATCAGGCCACCAACAAACAGTGGTTCCTGTGAGCCTTTGGCCTCCTGTGCTCCAACCCAGGATGAATTCTGGGTGTACACTGGCCTGGTCACTGTTCCACCCATGTGTCATCAGCCTTTCTCAAGTGTGGCTTCCACAGTGGGGCCCGACCCGTACTTATGTTCGTGCTGCACAGAGCAGGCAGGAACAGACCAAGTCTCCCCTCAGGTCCGCTGTGGTGCTACTCACATTCCCCCTGCACTGTATTGCCCCAATCCCTGGTTTCTGCTTCCAGGCAACAGAAGCTGGCTCTTCTTTAGACACAAAGCGATTTACTGGACAGCTGCTGGGTTTGTTACAGGGTCACTGGGAGGCCCAGGGAACCAGCCCCAAAGGCTGTGCGTACAGCCCGTAATCACATCCCAGAGGGGTTTCACACAGATGAGCCCTGGTGCCAGGTCCCTGTCTCCCCAGGACACCAGACACGGGATCTGCACTGACTTCTTGTCACCATGGGGCTGAAAGCCACTGTAGTGGTCAGCAGGGTGGTAGAGAACGGGCTGCTGGGAAGGAAAGGGGTTCCCATGCTGGGCGCCAAGAAGAGTGACCATAGTCACTGCAGGATCTAGACTGCCTCCCTGTCACACCAAGATGACAGCCACTGGATGTCACCTGGGCTCCGGCCACCCACATAGTCCTCTCCTTTGATTCTCATGACAACCTGTGCCCGTGAACACAGGCGTCCTTCAGTGGGGACTTCAGAGAGGAGGGGCATCCCCAGACTCTGCCTGTGGCACCCGCCATCCTGCCAGCCCCAGCAACACAAAGCCCTTCCCTCCATGTGGCCCTGAGCATGGGGACTCCTGGGGCAGAACTTTGTCAACACCAAACCAGCCAGGCCGAGACAAGCACGTGGCCAGTTCCCAGAAACAGGTCTCTGGGGAGGCTGAGTCAGAGGGTGGTGCCGGGACCAGAGCACAGCCCTGGCTCCAGCATTGTCCACAGCCTTCCCTGCAGAGGGGACCCCTTTGCTGAGCGACTGCTGCCTTCGTTTCCTGCCTCCCTCCCTCATTCATTAATGCCCTCATTTACCCACTGAGTCACCCAGCCATTTATTAAGTATTCATTGTACCTGCTATGTGCAAGGTCCAATCCTGGGCAGTGGAGAGGCAGAGAGAAGCTGGCATCTTTGAACTTAGGAGGCTGAACAGAAGGCTGGATGTAAAAGGATAGGTAAGGGCCAGGCACACCTGTAATCCCAGCCCTCTGGAAGGCTGAGGCAGGAAAATCAAAGTTCAAGCCCAGCCTGGGCAACTTAGCAACTCAGAGATCTTGTCTTAAAATTTTAAAAAAGGCTGGGGTTGTTGATCAGTGCAAAAGCCCTGGGTTCAATCCCCAGAACTGCAAAAAACAAGAGAGAGTCAAGAGAAATGAATGAGGAAGGAAGAGGAGGAGGGAGGGAGTTTCTAGGTCTTTCAAGACTGGTTCAGGAAGGACCAGGAGCTCTAGGTGATGGGGAAGTGCTATAGTTTGATGTGTTCCCCCAAATTTCATTTTTTGGTTTTGAGTCAGGGTTTCTCTATGTAGCCCACTCCAGCCTTGAACTGATGATCCTCCTGCCTCATTGAAGAAGGCTTTCACAGATGTGGCCCCTCAATCTTAGAC